TTATGTTTTCTTGTATTTGACATTAGCACAGAAAAATATACACCATTTTAAGTGGTGGCTCAAAATCCTAATTCACTTTTCACTGGTTAATCACTCCTTTGCATATGCTCAAATCTGCGGATATTCTGATAATTTACAGGTGCATGTTTGGGCATGTCTGATCTGGAAAAACACAAGTATAAATCTACAGACATGCATGCACTGTGTGTACAAGTGCATTTGTCTTACACACCTAACCAAAAAAGCCTTGAAGGCAACAGGCACGATTATTCACTAACTATGACATGGTTTTACACATCATTGCAAATGGCCTGTCAATCATCTTCTTCAGCTGTAATTTTTTTTGTTAAATCTCCATGCATACCTAACAGAAACATAAACATACATGTCTCTATGAGCTAATTCTTTCCATTACATTCCTCTTATACCCTATTCATTGAAACTGGTGTGAACATATATCGCAAACTATGGGTGAAAAGTGAAGTTTTGCTACTGCTCCCTCTACATTTCATTAAGTACTCGTTTTATACCAGTGCACTACTGTATGTAGAACTTACATTTCTCTTATGAAAACCATCCATTTGTACAGCTGTTTTCCTTTAATTATTTTCAAACTCTGTAGGCCTAACAACAGTGCAGTGTGGTATAGTGATCCAAAAGTTTTGATTGATTGCACTGTGCAGTTATGAAGCAAGTATATAACAGTACAAATCACATTGTAACAATAGAGAATAATACAACGGATTTCCTAATGTGCTATTTGCAGAATTAAAACACCCCTAACTATTAGTTGGAACTAATTAGTCATATCTTTGCAGGATTTAAAACTCCTACATTTCAGAATCTTTATAGATTTTTAAGTCTAGTCATAAATGTGTTTATAGAAGAGTAATAGTGAATATAGTGAAATAGAGAATTCGTCACTATTGATTAGGAAATGAAAGAAACATGACAGGGTATTTAACGTCTGCAATGCGTCTAAACTAAGTTTACTTCACATGTTCTGAAAAGTGAAGCTAAAAAAATTTTTGATTGCCCCCAGTGGCTGGCTGCAGTATTGGTCATAAACTCTACCCTCTCCATGTAAACAAATGGGACAGGAGCCAAACAATCAAAAAATCTAATTACTCTTCAAATAAATATTCCCAAAGATGGTTTCCATGTAGTTTTATCATGCTTATATATGCTCAAGTGTTCGCTTTTCTAATAAGCTTAGTTTTAGTTTTAATTCATTTGATGCTATAGAAACGGGGTGTGGCATCATGATAGTGTATTTGTGATTGGGTGTTCAGGAGTTTGGGCCAAACTTTGATACTCCACTGCACAATCACTACTGCGCAGACACCGGCTCCAATTGACATCATCGGCAGAAGATGCCAGCGGCCATACCTGGGACATTTAGCATCACTTTTCAGTAAAGATGCATCATCCATCATTTTTTTTCCTTTCACAGTCTTTGATCTCAACAGTAACATATGGCACAGATTTAGTTGTATATCCTTGCATGTGTGTTTGCTAAAACAACAAACATCATATAAGCAGATTTGACTCTCTGAAAAGACTTAACGAAACAGACTTGTTTAGAACATGCTTGATGGTGCATTTGGTGTGAATCTCTGGTTAAATTGCTTTCATTCAAAAGGTTGTAAGAGATGATGGTGGTCTTTCCAAGAAGCACAACACGGTCTGCTGTCCAGGCCTGTGTATGAAATTAAAGACATAGTTCACCCAAAAATGAAATTTTTTGTCATCATTTACTCACCCTCATGTCTTTCCAAATCTGTATATGTTTCTTATGTTGAACACACACACACAAAACATATTTTGAAGAGTTTTCAAGAACCAAACAGTTGTTGGTCCCCGGGGCCGGATTTACGCATAGGCATTCTAGGTACGTGCCTATGCTCGCTCGTGCAGGGGGGGCCCAAACACAATGAAGAGATATATACTATTTTTTGTTATACTATTGGCTATCTACAACAGTAAAATAACCAAAACACCAGAAGACATTGTGCAAATGAATATAACAAACAATAGGGTAAAAAATGACAAACTATTTCCATGTCTTCCACCTTTTTTTATGTACAGAAAACACGCTTTCCTTCTCCCATTCCCTCCCACAGAAGCACACAGACAATACAGTTACAGACACACACTCGCGCACACACGCAGAGACGCGGATAAAAAATTGTTGTCAGAGCTGCTGCTGCCCCGCAAATTTATCAATAAAATAGTTTCGCAGCTGAAAAGCTATATGACATTTCTCAGTAGCGAGGTTCTTGAAGCAGTTCAACTTAAAGATTCGCTATTAGTAGACGTTGCTGCTGAATACTGCTGAGAGACGCACAGACGCACGTATTCACACGCCCTTAATCTCTCTCTCTCTCTCTCTCTGTCTTTCTCTCTCTAATAACTGCGTTAGACTGCATTAATAACTGCGTTAGCCTGCATATCAATGGCTCAAGCCTCTTTTATTAGCTCTAAAATTACGTTTTGGAATTTGCAACGGAACGTTTGCAGAAAATGAGCTAGTTCAACACACACGATATTTCAGGACGGAAACATGTCAAATGTCTTGAAACAAATCATCTGAACAATTGATATGTGATTGTGACTCCAGGCCGTTAAAATTATTAGAGAAATAATGGACTCCAGAAGTGGTACGCACCACCTATTAATGAAATGGTCTTTCTCAGTTCTCAAACAAATTAAGAACTACATTTCGATCTTGATTGACTGAACGCAAGCACTTATTGCGATAGAAAACACTGTAATGGTTTCACTGATTAAGAAATATTTTTGTTTGTTTGGGTGGTGGTAATATTAGGCTTATTATATTAATAGGAATGGGGGGCCCAAAAATTAGTTTTGCCTATGTCACGAAAAGAGGTATATCCAGCCCTGTTGGTCTCCATTGACTTCGTAGGGAAAGAAATACTATGGAAGTCAATGGAGACCATCAACTGTTTGATTACCATTCTTCAAAAGATTTTCTTCTATGTTCTACATAAGAAAGAAATTCATACAGGTTTGGAACATCATGGGGGTGAGTAAATGATGACAAAATTGTCATTTTTGGGTGAACTATTTAAGGTTGGTGCTCATATGTTAGGATACATAGGTCCTTCCAGTGGAATTGATGGGATTCGGAAAACCCATATAACAGGTGCTTGGAGGGGAGGGGTTGATAAATGAGAGGGATTTGTGTCGTCAGATGAAAAAGAGGTGGGAGTAGACTGTAAACTTTTTTATTTGAAATAACTTACACTGACTTTTAAATCCAGTTCTTTCATTTGTGAGGTCGAGCTCCCCATCATCCGATGTCAACAAAGCATGACGTCATTGCCTCGTGGCTGCTCAGGTAGATCCTCAGTAATGCCATTTCACCCCATACCTGTGTCATGATCCAGCAGATCAGGCAGCTTAGCAAACAGAAACTTGGCAAAAGCTTCCAGTAGCCCACCTGTTGTTGCTACTGTGATCCTTGTGATGAAAAGGTCCATATTGTTGCAGCATTCAAGGGCTGTCATTTCAAGCATGTCAAGGGCTCCTTCCAGGTGTGCCCAAGTGTGAGCTGGAACCAGCCCAACAGATCCCTATCTCGCTAACAACTCGCTGCCAAAACAAAGATGTGTAAGTGGTGGATAATCATGCCAAGATTTGTGTTTCATCTGTGCTATTTATGTTATGTTAATGACACATTATTCTTTGCGTGTCAATAATTGGTTTCCCCTTGAAGGCAGGGCAGATTAGCTCTAGTGTGGTGTACTGTATGTTGTCTTCACTGCTTATCAATAAAAAAACATTCAAACAAGAATAGACAACCTTTTCTCCTCCGCTCTTGCCAAAACAAATCTCTCATCATGATTTATAACTTCCAACATTTCATTGTTTTTCTTGCTTATTAAAAGTTTCATCTAGATCTTGTGAAACGTGTAAAGACTGAACAAAAATAATAGACCTGTATTCGCTCACTGCCACTGAACTTGTGCCATGTATGTCCTCTCAGAAATGTATAAAAGAAGTCTTGACTCTACTGGGCCAGCTTTAAAAGGATTGTTCACCCAGAAATGAAGATCTTGTTATCATTGACTCTTCCCCATGTTGTTCTAAACCTGAGTTACACTCTTAAAAATAAAGGTGCTTCAAAAGGTTCTTCAAGCGACGCCATAGAAGAACCATTTTTGGTTCCACAAAGAACCATTCAGTCAAAGGTTCTTTAAAGAACCATCTCTTTCTTACCTTTTTATAATCTGAAGAACCTTCTTTCGCCACAGATGTTAAAGGTTCTTTATGGAACCATTTAGACAAAAAGTTTCTTCTATGGCATCGTGAAGCACCTTTATTTTTAAGAGTGTACTTTCTTATATCAAACATCAAAGAAGATATTTTGAAGAATGTTGAATGAACAAATACTTTGGAAGTTAGTGGGGACCAGAAACTGTTTGGTTACCCACATTCTTCAAAATATCTTCTTTGGTGTTCAACAGAAGGAAAACAATTCACACAGGATTGGAACAACTCGAGGAAAATGATGACAGAATTTTTGAGTGAACAATCCCTTTAACATAATGGAACATGAATAATGGGAAAAATATTCATATTCTGGTTGAGCATGCTCAATCTCTTTCATCAGCTCGAGAGATTTTCTCTGATATTAAAAAGTTTAGAGAATAGCCAGATGCAGTAGGCTATATAAGAAAACCGGTACACTTATTCCATTTCAGAAGTATCATGATTATTAGTGCACATGCTTAGACACAATCTTTTAGCTTTCCTATTACAGCAAATGTAAATAATTAAGCCAGACTTTCAAAATCCAGCTGCCCAGTCAGGCTGGATGGACACCTTCTCCTGGGATGGTTATCACTCTCTCTCTCTCTCTCTCTCTCTCTCTCTCTCTCGTTCTGCTCTAAGTGAATGGGAGGGGCGCAGAAATCCTCGGAGTGTATAAGAAGTGCCGTTCTCACAAGCAGGGATTTTACACAGCAACTCAGGACGAACGAAATGAGCTGCCCCAGAGCCGCTACAAAATGCTGGATGGACACCTTCTCCTGGGATGGTTATCATTTACCATTATAGTGCTTCTGATCAGCTTGCCTGGACCGTGCACGGCTTACTTCGGGTAGGTAGAGGAACTCTTCCTCAATCTTTAAATGTTTTCCAAGCTTCACATTTGTAATGAATAGACTAAAGATAGATTTGAAATGTATGAATCAAAAATCATAAACGCAATCTAGGAAATGTTATGTAAACCTCTCTCCACAACAACCTGTGGAGTTCAGATTCAGTCTGAGTGATGTTTTCTAATTATAGCATGTTCGCATTAAGTCTCCAGTTAATAACTTATTTATAAATTCAATACATTTGCCCTTATTTACAAGTTCATTAAATCGTGCATATCGGCACATTTATCAATGTTTTAATTCAATAGCACGTTTTGAATGGCAGGTACTAGCCGGTCAGGTTTGTCTTTTTCATAGATGCTTGTAGAAGAATGAAAACAGACACGAGCAGCTCTCAACAGCTGTTAACAATAAAGCTATGAAGATCTCTAACCTGGTGGCCAAAACGTCTGTTCAGATCGCAGATAATATTTTTTCATCCAGCATAAACACTCGTTTTGGCACCCCCATTGCTCGCTCACTAAGTTTAATAAGAGCAAGTTCAAGAATGTGTGTTGAATTTACAGTTTCCCCAGTTCCCCCTATAAACATTCCCTTAGCATAATTTTAATTGAGGTAATTGTGATACCGCGGGAACGCCTTTGGAATATGTTCCTCTATGACGCGTGCTGCTTATTGATATTCTTCCATTACGCGCCTTCATGTTTCAAGAAACATGTGTTTAACTTTTAATCATCAGCTTTAAATCATTGTCACTTGTATCAACAAGTTTGAAACCAAGTTTGGAGGGGTTGACTGCAATGAAAGTCTTTTATATACAGACACAGAATATGTAAGTTACAGATGTACATGAGTTCATGTAATCCAAAATTATTGGACGTAATCCACAGACAGGTGTGCGTTTGATAGCCTCTTACTGTTCTAACCCAGAATTTGTAGTGATGCACAAGACAGAAATTTTTTCCCATTCAACAACTGCTCAGAAGTTCACGACACTGTATCATTATTTCTCTTGGCTCTACAGTGATGGAAGATTCTATGTAAAAAGGTGTGCTAAGGAGAGGATATTGTTAGGGAAAATCAAGGGCCAGGGCGGGAGTGGCTCCCTCAGGCCCCATTGAACATTATGAAGCAGTAAACCGGTTTGTTGGGCTGCAGTGGTTGTAGACTAGGTCTAAGCCTATTCTACCCCCTCTTAGGAAGTCAATAAATTTGATAAATGCTGGCTTGCGTTCGCATGGGTGGGACAGTACTTCACATAAAAATTTATAGTCTCCATTATTTGATCTGAAAGATTGTTATCAATTGGATTTAGCCTCTTAAGAATATCTTCCCCTTGTTTTTTGGCACATTGAATGGAAAACTCTAAACTACAATGTGTGATAATGAGCAGATATGCAGTGTCAAGAGGCTGTGTCTAATAAATGTCTTGATATTTTTAACATTCAATTTGTCATGCGTATGTGAGGCTAACTAGCCATTGTTTGAAAGTACTCAAACTTTTGCCAGTTTCAGCATTTTGACGACTTTGACGGAAACTGCTTGTGCTTCCATGTTATCGGGTCATGAAAACAAACTATGGGAAACTCATTAGTGATATACTTCACTATGGGTGTTCTTTCTTAACTCACGCAATGAGTGTTCATTTTGAATGCTGATATGGGTGTCATTTTCTAGGCTTTTTGTTGAACTCTACAGTCAAAGAAGGGGGTGACTCCTCAAGACAAGGACACAATCACAAATCAAACAAGTCATTTCAACCTTGTGCCAGAAACAGCACGAAACCATTACTTTCTGACATGTTGTCACACTTGCTTCCACTAACGTGCAAATAAATACCTTCCATGAGGCGAATGCATCTCCGGCCACTGATTTACTTAAATAGAGGGTCAATGTTGCATACCCAATTTCCCCAGTGCGGTGGAGCGTATGTGAAACTTAAACACAGTCTCTGTTTGACCTCGGTCTGTGTCTCTGAGGGTTGGGTGGGATTCCTTGCCTAGTTGAGCCGCTGCTGAAATTGTCATCCTGGCCACAAGAATGCAAAGCCTTAGTTTTTACCAGCCGTCCACTCCAGCTTGTAGCGGCAGGTGTCCAGTGTTTATTTCAGCTATATCTTATTCAACAGCAGTCACAGGCAGACCAGGTCCGGTTGGTTGGGGACAAAATGGTGGTGGAACAATGCAGCAATACGGGGGCTGCACACTTTTTGTCTAGGTGTAGAGCTCACCTTAAATAGCCTGAGGGACGAAAGGGGAAGAGGTTACGTGCTGGGAAAACATGGGGAAAATAAGCCCTGAATATCCAAGGAATGAGGTTCTTTTGTACCTGGCTTTGACAAGTTTATGCAGGAGGAAGCCAGCTGAGGAAGCCAGCCTGGGGTCACATGTGGGGAACCTGACTTGAAATGAGGGTAAAGACTGATATGTAAGAAGCTGGTTATTGCCACCTAAATTATGATTCTAGAGATGTATATTATGCTGTGTTTACATTTGAAAAGCCCAAAACTGTTGCATTGCTATCTCAACAGTAAGTTCTGACAGATGTCTTGACATTTAAAAGGAAGACTGGTGAAATGCACTCAACCTGTTAACAAGGAACTATTTAAAATCTTTATCAGTTGATAAGTTGTCAGTTGTCAGACACTTAACACCAGCTGTTGCTCACATGTTCCAAAATCCTGTGTTGAAGACGTTGGCTGCAACAAGATGCATGTGTATGTGCATTATAACCCTGTAATAAGGGCTTAACCAGTTCTGGTTCTAGTTCTGGCCCCTAGAGCCCAGTCAGAACAGGTGCAAAGCTTCCACAGTATTTTTTTAGGAAACACTTAGACTCTAGCCTTTTGCATTTGTAGATCTGCAGTGAAAGCTGTGCACTTGATTTGGTTAACTAAATAATGAGTCATGTTTTGTCACGACCTGTCCATCAGTAGGTGCAGCAGTACTTGCAGTGCCTGATGTTTCCACCAGGGGGTGGAGTCACTACTGTAAAAGCGCCTTGCTCATCAATCATCATCTGCTGCTTTATGAAACCTTAGCACAGTGGGAAATGAGTGGCAAAAACAGATATGAGCACAGAGAGCTGCGTGTCGAGGATACAGGGAGAAGGTCAACAGAGCAGCAGTTTTTTTTCAAAGGTATAGTTGTGGTCAGTTTGATCTGTTTGCGATGGCATTTTTTGGCCGCTACTCTCAGGAAAGCCCCTGTACAGAAGCAGTTTGCTGCACAAGACTTCAGATTAAATCTCCCGACTAGACTTGGGCTCGGGAATGTTGATGAGAGCGGCTGCCTGAGCTGCGGTGGATCGCCTTTCAGTGCCAGAGAATAGCACTGTCTGCAACTGAAGTTCCTCACATGTGACCACTTCCTACACACACCCACAGACTTTTTTACCGAATCATATGCATATTTTATTTAAATCAAACTTAAACTGTGTTTCACTTAACAGACACGTGATGGTCTTTTCTAAAGGCGCAACTCCACCGAGGTGTGTGTCATTGCTGGACAGCTTAACACAGTGTTTCGTTTCTACTATAAACACACTTACGATTATGAAAATTTCTTTGGCTTTCATGACATTTCAAGTAACCACTTGAAAAACGTCAATCCGTGTCTCTATATTTCTACCGGTTTGTTTTTCCTCAATGGCTTTCTCGACAAGCTGTGAGAATGGCTTTTCCCGCAGGAGTCATCCCAACCCTGCCTTGATTATATGGTATTATTGCTCTGGGGAATGTCTTTAAATGTGTTTGGCACACTTGCATCCAAACGGCTCAATAGTCTGGTAGTATGGCTCCGACCACAGATTTTTTAAGAGAGGGCGGGTCCGCTCCTGCCATAACCCAGTCAGCGGTGTGTTTTGTAGATATGTAGGCTGTTGTTGGGAATGCAGCGATGGGCATCGCAGACAGGAGCGCATTGCCAGGCAAAACCGGAAAGCCAATATGGAATCTGAATAGCTTTTGGTGGTCAAAGATTGATGAAATGACGTTAATTAGTGGCACTACCATGTCATGTGTTTTCCGTCTCCCACCACAGGCTGTTTTCCGCCACAAAGGGTTTTGGGTGGACTCTGGGCCAAAATGATCAGTGACTACGTCCAAGATTAGATTACTGAAAAACCATAAGATGACTGTGAAAACTCTGAGCTATGAACCATACATGCACATTTATTACATGGGCTGGGTGTTGATGCCAAAACAGTAGGCAAGACAAACCAAGAATGTACCTCGAGTTTGTGCTTTTTCCGTTTCATTATGCTTGCATCAAACTTGGAGTTTTTAATTAAAGCTGTTTGCCTTTTCATTTAGTCTGTTAGAGCCGCACTGCCTGCATAACGTGAACAAACAAACAAAAACACACAACCACAGATGAATGTCTCAATAGATGGTTTTGGCTATGGTAGCTTACGCGCATGAATCAGGCTTCGGTCTTTAAGACTGAACTGGGGAACAATATACTGCTAAATTATTATATAAATAAATTATATAAAAATTCAAGTACTTCAACTGGTTCCTCTAGGCATCAGTAGTAGAACTTGTGCACTCTGATTTCACAAGAGTCTCTAATATGTAGGAAAATATATATGATCTCTGTTAGCAGCAAATATAAATAACCAACTAATATAGCTTGCATTTGAAAATTAATTAGTTCTGTGAAAGGCATTTTGGTCTTTGGTTCCTCAAGGCACCAGCTGCAGTACTTGTAACTACAAGGCACACAGACTTTTCGGGAGTCTCTAATATGTAAAAAAATCTATATAATTTCCGTCAGCAGCAAATATAAATAACTGTAACTAATATAGCTGTCATTTTAAGATTAATTGGTTCCGTAAAAGACATTTCGGTCTTCTATTTGGAATGAAGATGATCAATGTATCAGCGCACCCATAGAATCAGTGTCATAGATGCCGTGTCATTATATTGTCACGCAACTTACAATAAGAACCATAAATGCTACGTTACTAAGCCCCGCAGTCAAAGCATGTTAGGATTCCC